AAAAATTCTTTTAATGCTACACAAACATATCCATTTTATTTAAAGGCGACTGTTGGCTGCTGGCTGCTGTTGCAAATCTCACCCTGCACGATGACCTCTTCTTCCAAGTCGTTCCACATGAGCAAGGATTTGAAGACAATTACTGTGGTATTTTCCATTTTAGGTACCATTTTTACTTTCCTTTGGAATTAATTACCTTTCTGCATTTTTTTCCGTTACTTAAATCAATTTTAATTTGTAGGTTTTGGCAGTATGGACGGTGGTTAGATGTAGTTATAGATGACCGTCTGCCTACAGTTTATGGAGAACTTGTTTTCCTACATTCTTCTACAAAGAATGAATTCTGGAGTGCTCTCTTAGAAAAAGCATATGCTAAGTAAGTCTTATTTTCTTACACCAAAGAGTATCTTCCACTTTTTCTATTATCATAACTGATTCTTGTCAGTTTCCATTACTCACTACTACCAATACCTTTTACTAAGTCTGGCTGTGTGTAAGATTTTTAAAATTATTTTCCCACCAGACTGCATGGTTCCTATGAGGCACTTAAGGGTGGTACAACATGTGAAGGCATGGAGGACTTCACGGGTGGTGTCACTGAAATGTATGAGCTAAGAGAAGCACCTGGCAACCTGTACAAGATATTGCTCAAGGCCTATGAGCGTTCCTCGCTTATGGCATGTTCTATTGAGCCTGACCCACATGTAACTGAGGCGCGCACGTCTTCTGGCCTGGTTAAGGGACATGCCTACAGTATCACTCGAGTGCAGTATGTGGATGTCCAGACCCCTAGACAAAGTGGTAGGATACCCCTTATTAGACTGCGCAATCCTTGGGGTAATGAGGCAGAGTGGAATGGACCCTGGAGTGACCAGTAAGCTTTCCCTTTTATTTATTTTATAAAAAATATTTCAAAATTAACACTGCCACATTAATGTGCATATTTCTCAAATATTACAAGAGCTTTTACTTTGTAGGTCACCTGAGTGGAGGTTAATTCCAGACCATGAAAAGGAGGAGATTGGTCTAATCTTTGATGATGATGGTGAATTCTGGATGTCTTATCAGGACTTCTTAACACATTTCACTCAACTAGAGATGTGTAATTTAAGTCCGGATTCTATGGAAGATGATAACATAAAGAAATGGGAAGCCAACACCTATGAGGGAGAGTGGGTTAGGGGTGTTACTGCTGGTGGTTGCAGGAATTATCTTGGTAAGCATTATTAATAATTTATTATCTTTTAAATTTTATTAAAGTTTACTTGTAAAGTGAATTTTTCAACCAAAAAAATTTTCATTTTTCTTACAGACACATTTTGGCACAACCCTCAATACAGAATTACCTTAACAGACGTTGATGAGGATGATGATGAAAACAGGTGTACTGTAATTGTAGCTCTCATGCAAAAGAATAGACGAGCTCAGCGAAAAAAAGGCATGGAATGTCTTACTGTAGGTTTTGCTGTGTACAATGTGAGTCTGTCTTTCAAATATTGTAGTGCAACATTCTAAATTGTATCTTGGAAAAATATTAAACTTGTATTAATGAATTTCAGTTGGGCCATGATCCCGATAGTCTACCAAAGCCTTTGGATTATAATTTCTTTAAGTACAATGCATCTTGTGCAAGATCTCCGTCTTTTATTAATTTACGAGAAGTTAGCTGCAGATTTAAACTTCCTCCTGGTTCCTACTGTATTGTGCCGTCCACCTTTGAGCCAAATGAACAGGGTGAATTTATTCTTAGAGTGTATTCTGAGAAGCGTAATAACATGGAGTAAGTGTAACTGGCATTAGTCTTTTCTTTTTTCAAAGTGAAATTTGAGTTTTTAAATGCCACTATGATTTTGTTGTTAACAGAGAGCATGATGAAGAGGTTGGAATTGGTCACATTGATCCTAGAGTATGTATCACGGTACATGTTGCCAGTCATTAAATTATAGAGTTTTTGTTCTTTTCCGTCTTTTATTCATAAAATTTTGTTTCATTTTGTAGGTGAAAGATGAAGATGAAGACACTGAAATGGCAAAGAAGGACGAGAAGGTTAAAGGGCTGTTCTTGAAGTTGGCTGGTGAGGATGGTGAAGTGGACTGGATGGAACTGAAGGAGATCATGGACTACACCATGAGGAACGGTATGTTGTGGCTTGCTATTATGTTTTCTTTGCTATTGCTTTCGAATTTTACGATCCCTCTGGACTCTATGTATGTTGTCCTTGTCTGAGCTTCACATTTATGTATGTGATTGAATATCTGCATCTGTTCCCTTTGCCAAGAAATGTCACATACTTCTGCAACAAGCAGAAAATAATTTTTTTGGATTTTGCTCATGTGTTGTTTTGCTGTGATGAAGGGATTGCAAACTTCGCCTGCAATAGCATAACTCCCGCCTCTTCTAAAACAACTCAAAGGGTTCTTGGAATCAACCTCCTTTCCATGACATCGAACTGCACATAACTTCTGAATGCGCTCAACCCTCTACATCACTCACACACTACTTCCTTCATGGCACAACAGGTTGCACTTTGACCATGGTGTGAGATAATTATTCTGTATGGCTCCCCACTCCCTTACAGTAATTTGGCATAGAACAAAGTTAAAAAATTAATCCACCTTGTTCATATTCAATTTTTCTAGTGTGGCATTTTATTCTATTTTTCCCTTTGTGTAACATGTGATTAATGTTTTCTTTTGTGGTTTATTTATTACTTGTTTCTTTTTTGTAGGGGGCAGAAAGTAAGCTGTTTTGTAACCCTGTTTTCATTTTCAAAATTTAACTTATCTGAAGTATATCGGACATGTGTATACACACACAGTCCACAATGTTTTTTTCACAAGCCAGGCAGGTCTGCTTAACAGTAAACTTTTTCAATTGCAAGTAATTAAAACCCAGCACATCTACTTAAATTGTTTGTTAAAAATATCATTATCATTTAGTTCCTGTTCTTTGTCTAAAAATGTTTTTATTCAAAGTTAGTGTTTCATCTATTAATTTCAGTATTGGTTTTATCTAACTTTGGAGGTGGTATTGCAACTGTACTAAAGTTTTAGTTTCATTTCCCAGTAGAATTTACAGAGGGTTCTGTTTTATACACCTTGTATTTAATTTTATATTTATTTTTATCTAGTCTATCCTATCCCTCTGAGACTTTTCTGGCATGTGTGGTGGTCTAGTGTGATTTTGTGTGACATGTCTTGCTGAGGCCATTTTATTGTGGCCAAAAGGCGTGGCTCTGCAAAGCGTCAAGCTCTAATCCTTGCCTGCTTATGATTATGTTGCTAGAGCTGCCCAGTAGACCTAGACCCCCGACCCAACACCAGGTTGCACCCATGGAAGATGATACCCTGGTTGGCCAGCTGGTTAACCTGTTGTGTGGAGTCATTTGCAAGGATACACCACTGGGTACGGCATTTGCCTCTGGTGGTGATCAAGGACATGCCGCTGGTAAGACAATTTTATGCTGGAAAAAACAAACAAATAAGCGTTTAAAAACTCAAATTTGGTGTATAGGGCTCTATTTCAGACAGCTATTGGACCATGTGACCCAGACACTAAATTTCAACTGAGACGCACTAACTCCCCACCCTACCTCTGTAAAAATATTCTTATCCTAACGCTGGTCCATTAACTAATAGAAAGTTCATCAATAACTTTGCCCTCTTCTTTTAAGAACTCATGATGAACTTCTACAATCATACCAAAATTCTACCCTGGGGTCATGTTCTATCTACTAAACCTCACATATTAAATTTTATGGTGCTGGTAAATTTTGTCAAAAGTGTCAAAGGTTGTTTTTTTTTGTCCTCTAGTTATGGTTCTGTTAGTTTTTGATTAGTACATTATGTTTGATGGGAGCACAAGCTTACTGTAATAAGTTCATTCATCCTAGCATCTGGTGTGAATGTTTGCTGTAATTTTTTGCTATGCTTATATTTGATGCTGCTGTTGTGTTATGATTGTTCATGAGAAAAAAATTATCTTTGCTCAAGACCAAAAATAATCCATTGAACTGCTTTATTGATTTTAATGGTACAAACTGTACCAACTCTTAAGAAACTCTAAAATATTAAAATTTGCCTTGATTTGTTATGAAGTAAGATTTAAGTTTGTCTATTTCTTTTACAATAATATCAATATTTTAGTTAAACAAATTTAGAAGCTCAATATCAATATCAATAATTCATCATTCACATTTTGACCACACATCAGCAGAAAAAAGTAAATTTTAACTTGAGAAAATATCTCTGCTCTATCTTAAATTGTTCCCCTGATGTTGCAGATACTCGGTCCTCTGGCTTTGCCAAGGAAGTGTGTCGTAGCATGGTTGCCATGATGGATGCTGACCACTCAGGCAAGTTGGGATACGAGGAGTTCAAGATACTCTGGACAGATATCAGACGTTGGAGGGTAAGTTACTGTAGTTGTTTGTTTGAAATACTTATCCCATCGCTGCTGCTTTATAAATTTTAACTTGGTTCGATATTTATTTGCTTTTTATTTTACAGGCGGTCTTCAAGCTGTACTGCAAAGAAGGCTCGGGTTTCTTGAGTGCATTTGAGTTGAGACAAGCTCTCAACTCTGCTGGTTACCGGCTGAACAACCACATTTTGAATATCCTGTTCCATAGATATGGTGCTTCAGATGGCACTATAACATTTGATGACTTCATGATGTGCGCCATTCGCATGAAAACCATGATAGGTGAGAGTTTGTTTGCACCGAATCACCTTTTTATTCAGAAGGAACCATTGACATTTGCTGTCTGTTTCCAGATCTGTTCCGAGAGAGAGACCCTGACAACACTAATTCAGTTTCTTTCACCCTTGAAGAATGGATGGAGAAGACCCTTTATTCATAGTCTATTTATTAAGCCTCTCCTTTCCATCTTGCTTTTGTACTTTAGCTCTATTTTCTTACTCCCAAGTTTCTCTACATGATATTATTAACTTACTTTAAGATTGACCTTAAAGAAATATGCATGGAAAGGATCATTTGTGCATGGGAGACTAATAGCTAATATAATGCTTTGGCAATCACTGCCAGAGATCTGTATTTTTGTTGAGTATTTTGTACATGAATTATGCAGTCCATTTCCATTCATAGTCTGCTGCTCTTTCATCAGTCTTTTGCAAATCTCTTTTAACATGTTGCTTGCATTTGAGAACTGTGTGATGCTATTTAATAATTTAATTTTAATGATTCATATTTTTAATTGTGCTTCCCCATGTAAGAAAAAGTTGTTTCTAAGTACTGTGTTTAATTTCAATAAAATTTATTTTATTCTTTTGTAAATGTTATGGATTGTTAAATTAATTGCCCTCTTCTACCTTTAATTTGTTTGGACTAGATCGCCAATAACCAAGGACATGTAGAGGTACTGTGATTCGTCAACTCATTCTCTTTATCTCTCAACCCACACACATTAGGTATATGTTTCCTTATCTGTGACGAGAGAGAACTATCTCATGTCTGCTAGTCCTGGGAAAAAAAAATTATGAAGATAATATTATTTGGGATACCAATGGACCACATACAAATCTAGTCCCTTTAAAGCTGAAGACTGAATCCAAGTTTCGGCATTGATGTGCAATTCTTCCTTGAGATTTAGCAATGATATTCGATTTAGGATCGCTGGCTATATGTGACTTTGAAATTTGAAATAAAATCGACGTGAGATGGAATAAATTTCAGAAGTGGCGCAAACTACAGTCATTTGTCTCGTCACTTCCCCTCTGCCCCCTCCTCCCTCTCCCGATCGATTTGCCTTCGTGTACAGTCGCAGTGTACAGTCGTCTGCTTGGAACCGCCGACATCACCAACACCGTATCAGTTTGAAACGTCAGCCTTTAGAATCTCTGTCATTCAAGGGCCTTGCCAAGAATCTTATCCCGACGATACGTCTACTTAGACAGCAAATCTTCACTTCTTCGACCTTGGAAGAAAGGTAAGTGTGCGTAGCGCGTTTTCTTTCCAGCCCCAGTTGGGTGCAACCGGTGGAGGGAAGAGGAGTGTTGTCAAGCACCTGCCCAGGTACTGTTAGCATAGTCCTCAAAAAGTGTGTCATTCCTCGTACCCTGTATCAAGATTCTCTATTTTAAAGGAATACCAGCCTTAAATTTTCTTATTAAATTGACATGGTTATTTTATCTCTAAGGGAGATAGTGTGCAGCAGTCAGAGGTTATAGATGACACTGTAGTGTCATATTTAGTATTAGGGAAATAAAATTGATCGCTTAATTTTTGTTCTTGAGATTTCTACCATTCGAATTCTAATCAGTGCAATGGTACTCTCCAATATTTTTAATTCTATCTTTACTTTATTTTTCCATTACTCATTTCTAAGTGTACAGGTTAATGGAATCTTGTAATTCAGAAATTTGGGTAATGTGTGTTACTTTGGATTGCTGTAGTCTTTTTGTCACTGTTTCTCATAGGTCTAATGCTCATTAAACTTGTCCAGGGCATCCGTAGATTTGCAATGAGTGCTGCTCAGAAACCCCAAATTGTCTTTGTGCTTGGAGCACCAGGCTCAGGCAAGGGAACAGTCTGCAAAAATATAGTTGACGTAAGTGCTGTTAAAATAGTAATGATTGTTTTTTGATAAGATATGTATGTATGTATAATTCTTACCTCTCCTTTACAGAATTACAAGTTCGTACATCTATCAGCTGGAGATCTTCTCCGTGAAGAGCAGAATACCGAGGGGTCTGAGCATGGTGATCTTATTAAAGAATACATTAAGCTTGGCAAAATCGTTCCTGTTGAAATTACCTGTGGGCTCCTTAAAAGGGTATGAATAATCCTAACCCTAACTCCTTATAAATATTTTATGCTTGGATCCTGTTCATATTCTCCTATTTTCCCTTCTACAGGCCATTGAAAAATCAGGGTCTTCACATTTCCTAGTTGATGGTTTTCCAAGAAACCAGAACAATCTGGATGGCTGGGAAAAGGTTATGTCTGAATGTGTTGATGTGAAATTTGTTCTTTTCTTGGATTGCACTGAAGAGGTAATGGTGAAACAGTAATGTAAATGTAGCCTTGTGCTGATTGAGGAACTAACTGTGAAACCATAATCTGTCTAACAGGTGTGCACTCAAAGATGTCTGAACCGTGGTGCCCAAGGAAGTGGACGTACCGATGACAATCTTGACTCACTGAAGAAAAGATTCAACACTTACAGCAATGAGACCATGCCCATCATCAAACACTATGATGGGAAGAGTATGGTGAGGAGGGTCGATTCTGACCGAACACTACCAGAGGTATGTTGTTTGATCATTGATGCTTGATATGCTTCACTACTTTGTACAGATGAAAAACACAATGATTCTGTTTCAGATCTTTGAAGACATCAAGAAAATTTTCACCCCATTGGTTTCTGAAAGCTAAAACCTGTTGCACCTTGCTCTGTATGCATGCTGAAGATGTATGCAGGGAAGATTCCCTAAAACTTTGGTGTTTAGTTTTATGATCAATAACTTAATAATGAAATAGCACCTCTTGAGCATAATAATTGTCCAATTTAACAATCACCATTATTGTGGATGAGTGAAATCCCTCCACAATTGATTAGTCGAAATGGGAAAGGCAGTATTTATCATAAATAGGTGATTTTAGTACAAGTTTAAAATTCAGTTTTTTCCAGATAGATCATGATTCATGTCATTCCAAGATTTAAGTACCTCAGTTTAGATAGGTTTTTTTCTTCTTCTTTTTTTAGTAGATCTTGTCTATATCTCTTGTAGTCACACTACGTAATTAATCTTTGACCAGCCATCCACCCAAGCAATTTGTATCCTTCAATTGTTACCTACTTATTGTTATTTCATCATTGCAGCTCATGTAATATTGTAGTTCCATCTTCCTGTTGCACGCCACTCGAACCAAATCCTACTATCTATCTACAACCGGTAGAACTAGTAGTTAAGTGATGGCAGTTTATCAAATGTTCAGGAAACAAATGAAATTATTATCAATATTTTTATTTTCTCTGTACCTTGATGTTGCAAAGCAAGTCATTGAAAAAATGGAGAATCAAACTCCTTGTCTTGCAAAGTTTGTAATTACGTTTTGAGTTAATCAACTTTTCTTTTGTATCATTTTAGAAGTTTTTAATGTAAATTTGTAAGAATATTTTCATAGGAAAGAAAACCAAGTCATTTTATTTGATAATATTTATCAAGTTCTGACTTTTCCAGTCTTGTTGTACCCTGTAGCCAAAGTTTGTGCAAGGATGGTAAATATATCATTCACTTCAATAAAAGAAAAGTACATTTAATTATTGAGACTAACTTATCTTGTCGGTTCCCGGTCATTTTTCCCAATCCCTTTTCCCCAATGTCGTTTTTTCCCAAATTTTTAGTTCCCAAAAGTCTTTTTCCAAAATGGCCTTTCCCAATAGTTATTTTCCCAAATTTATGTTTACAAATTTATTTTCTTAATGACAATGAGTTCCAAAATAATTCTTATTGTTCATTGGCCATGTAGTAATCCAAAGTATTTTGTAGCCTATGTCATAAAAAAAGGGCAAGTACATCGTCTCCTTCAGCAGTAAACATAGAGAGACCAAGAATGCAGTTGTTGAAGATCAAATAATTTTAAAATTTTAAAATTCTCCTCCATTTGCCAATTTTCTCCAATATCTTGTCAGATCCGCACACACACACATCCAAGGAAACCTTTTTTCTCACGGAGACCTCATTGTGACCCCTGTGCTGTGGTCACGATTCCTTGCACTTGTGAGGTCACAAGTGCAAGAATCGTGACCTCGTAAGTCATAAACAAAGAGGTCACCATGAGGTCTTCGTGAGAACCGCGTTTTCCTGGGGCACAGCAGAAAACGTTGCTGAGAAGTCATGATCGTGAAAGCCCAGCCTATCCCTCGCTCCACCATGCGCCAGCCCAAGGGAAGGCAGCGCTCCTCAAGCTGCCCCACCCCTGGGCCTCTCTTGGGTGGGCTGGGCAACTGGATTATTTTGGACCACCACCACCACACACTTGGGGACAATGTCTAAGATCGACTGCATGGATCCTGCTGATGAGCTGTCTGGAAGCATCTGTCTCACTCAGACCTCTGGACCGATTCACAACAATTCGTCTCGAGATGGGGCAAGATGATATCTTCTCGTGATCCCTGGTGTGGAAGGGAAGGGAAGGCCAACCAAGGCTTTGCCCCCCCCCCCCTTTTCCCACTCCCTCGCCGATGTGCTAACGGGGCGTTTTAGGAGGGTCCCGGGCTAAGGCATTCCAGGCGGGGCGTTTTGCTAAGGGTAATGGTCAATTTGTGCCCCCTCCCCACTCTTTCCCCTTTCCCCAACCCTCCCGCCACTCGCGCCGGGTTATAATGGAATGATGCCCATTATTTCACGCCACCCTCTTCGGCCCCGAGCCAAAATAGGATTCCAGTTGCAGGCAGGGGAGAAGACGTCCCCCACGGGGGAGGGGGGGGGGGGGGGCTGTCAGAGCAGCGGCGAGGACTTGGCGGAGGAGAAGTATGGTGCCTGTGCCATGCTGGGTCGGCGCATGCGTGATTGTGTCCGCCAGAGGGCCGCGCCCTAAATCACGGCGTGGGCAGATAGTTAAACACCAAGTTGATTCCGGGCCGAGGCCGAGGCGTGCTTGGTCGCAGGGGCCGGGCCCCCCGCGGCCCCGGTGCGTCATGTGATCCCTGTAATCTCCTCACTTCACACTCGCCCCCCTCCCCCTGTCACGGGGTCGGCCTTGGTTTCCACCCCGTGACCTCCCCCTCCACCCCCCCTCGTCGGGATCATCAGTGCTGCAGTAGTGGCGGCGGCGGTAGTATTTTATGTGGCCGTCTGAAAACTTTGTGACGAGGCATATGTTGGCAGTAACTCATCCTCCCTCCCCCCCCCCCTTTCCACGGTCCTCATCCCCGCCCGCTCCCCCCTCCCTGGGGGCAGCGTCGCAACAAGTGACCCCGAGGGGAAGGGGGTGGGGGGATGGAGGGTCGGGGGTAAAAATGGGTCCAGGCCGAGGAGCCCCGGCCGGGATGAGCCCCCCTTGAGAGGCTGGAGCAAGGGATGGAGCCGCCCCGCCCCGCCCCGCCGGGGGATGGAGTGGATGGAGAGGTCCCTCTGGCGGGACCCCCTCATCTGGGGCCGTTCAAGATCCACGAGTAGTTCGCTTTACTCGTGGCTCGGATAACATTTTTTTTTTGCGACCATCTCATTATCTTTTAGAGAAAAGGAACTACAACTTTTCGTTTCTTATATTATTTGTTTTTGTCATATGTGGGGAAACTTTATACCATGGCTTAAGATCGTGATTAAGGGGGCGCGTACAAATACTACATCAGCCTTCCTCCCATCCATTCAGGTGAAATATTGACAATATTCCCGCATGGAAATAAGCCTATCAAAAATGACACTTTTATGTTTACTCTGACATAAAATGCCAGATTGGCACGGCCCCACTTTGCTTGCACTTTCGGCATACTTTTTGTATACTTTTTGGACACTTTGGCCAGTCACATTTTTAGTGTACTTATTTCCATGCGGGTTAGTAAAGAGGAATAAAAGTAAGGTCAAATTATTATCTTACATTCTCTTTTCAGTGCTAAATGTATGATCTGCCAAAAACACGCGTGACTTATGGGCGTCCTTACTGACTCTGCTCCCCCCCCCCCCCTATTTTCCCTCTTCTTCCCACGAGATCTAGCGGGTCGAGGACGCAAAGACGACGCGACGCTCTGGCGCGGATTTGTTCAACATTTGGGAGCCACTGGTGTGGAAGCGAGTCGGTCGGTCTGCCTTATTTTTTCCCCCTCCCGGTCCCGGACCCGAGGTCTGCTGAAGCCAAAGCCGTCGTCAGCGCCGCGCGCTATCTGGCTGGTGCTTCCCCCTGCTCGCTTTCAAAGAAGCGGTCGACATCACTAGTCGCCGCGCGCAGCGCTGCTGAATCGGCTTCTGACCGGACCACTGTGTGTCCCTCTCAGAAAGAGAGAAAGGGGGCGGCGGTGAGGGGTTGAGGACAAAGACAGAAGCCCCGGCCAAACTGCAACACACGGAATTAGCATGAAGGGGTCGCAATCAAGGCATTCCGAGTTCCGGGTGTATCAGAGCGGACGCTGTCGCCTGTAATCGCGCCACGGCCCTCATGCGGCCCAAAGAGGGTATGCAATCCCGCAACACTGCAGCGTCTGCTCTGTTATAGCCACTATAGGACTCTACTGATATACTTTCGGACAAAGTTTAGTGGAAAAAGGGGCTGCGTCGGGTCTGGGGCTAGATCATGAATATGTTCGGCTCATGTCAAGTCGCCACCACCTCTCGTCACCGGGCGGCGATCGGCTGCTCCGCGCGCGCTGATTGCCTTCCTATTGCAGCCCCATTGTCCGGGCCGCCGCCCCGCAGCCCCGGGGTGATCGCATGAAGCGGCGGTGTTCAAAGATCATTCACTGCAGTTTCCGAACGGAGCGTCGTACAAATACGTTTCCAAATGTTTTTCAAGGTTCCTTGAGATTTCCAGTCGATTGGCGTGACTCCGATCGCTGAAGTTCAACGCGTTCCGACGCGTTTAAATTATACATTTTGGAGACGCGCGGGGCTGCCCAGCAGCGCCCTCTGTTTTTCCATGTCACAATGCATTTCACTAATCATATATCTCATTCCTGTAATGGAAAGCCCATAGGGTGAGCCACGGCTTACACCGGTGCAGTATATGGAATCCAAACCAGAGGGTGTCCAGGAGGGTTATAAGACAGGGACAGGACGTTAGTCTCAGAACAGGGTGAAAGGGGGGGGGGAATAGCTTGCGTTTAGTTTACGGGGTGCTACGGGGAGCAATGGGGTCTTGATCCTCGCCGCCTTTTAAACGCGTACTATGGTCCACAGGCAAAATAACGTTCCCAAGTGCTCAGGACCCCATAGGACCCCGTAGCACCCAGCAGCACCCCGTTAACTAAACGCAAGCTTAAGTCATGTATCAATCTAGCCATGTTGCCCCTGTATGTAGTAAAATTAACCGCCAGCTCCCTGCCGCCTCTAGAGAGAACGTTCTGTGCCCAGATATCAATGGGGCGTTGTGCCTTTAAAACGTTCTCTGCGGCGTGACTACTATGTGGTCACGCTCCTATGTTGAATCATAGGCATCAAAAATGAGTCGCAGGAAACGTGTTAAGCCGTCCAGCTGTTGGGCAACCTAGATTTACAGTATAGGCTGACCAGTCACCAGTACCTAGGCACAGCTACCACCAGCAGAACAGCCACCTCAAACACCTAAGCGACGAAGGGGCGACGGCTCGGCACACAACTATTTCGGTTTCAAACCCACAACGGTGACAGTTTTAAAAAAAGCAGACAAGCTGGGCATGAACTATTACTCAAGTTACGTACCAAACCGTCAGCAACGCCAGGAGGTCTGCGCCGTGGATTAAACCACGAGGAAAAAAAAAAAAAAAAAAAAGCAACGCCAGATGTTGTTTTTTTTCTGTCGCGATGTCACCGGTCTGTGCCCACAGCTCCTCGGCGTTATTCGCACCTTCAAACAGTGACCGGGACCGGGACAGAAGACGCACGCTAAGGCTCAGGCTCAGACAGAAAAGTTAGCCTCCAAGTGTTTGGCGTGCCTGTGCCTGTGTCCATCTTCACTCCAGACCAGTGGATCATTGTTCAACTTGCAGTGATTTCGAACGGTATGTTTCACCACTGAGAAATTGTTTGATGGGGACTTGCCGAGAGTGACAGCGCTGCAGAACGGGGAATCGTATCGAAGAAGCAGCACCATAACCTTTGCGGACACACGTAACCTAGGTTTTCGCTTTTCCGCGTTGTTTGTTTTTAAAATATGCAACCCTACTGGCGATAAAGCCTGTCTTGCTGGTTACGACCCGACCCTGATGGACTGGGGGACACTGAGGGATTGTCCTTCGCCGATCCCCGCAAGTCCCTCCGGATTTTGTAGTCCCTCTGCTGTCCTTAGACAATCCTTGTGATAATCCTGACGAAATTCTGTGATATTTATGATATCTGAAGTCCCTGAGGTGTCCTTCGACTGTCCCTGGGTTTTCACCGCCTTGCCTGTATTCAGAGTCCTCCGCAAACCACATCCCTGGAGGATCCCTGGGAATTTCTCCCTCAAAATACCCGGAGATTATTCTCACTGGCGGATCCCTGAAAATAACTGAGTGATCCCTATTAAATCCTCACCCAACATCTCCAGGTATTTTCGGGAATTAACTGTAGTCATCCCTCAGGTCGACCTGAGCAAGAGGCCGTCGTTGCCATTCGTGTTTATAAAGAAGTATGCAAATATCGGATATGATGTGTACGAAGTCTCGATGTTAGTCTTTCACTTCACAGTGTTCGTTGGAAAGGTCGCCATTTTCTCTAAAATGTTGTGGTTTGAACAAAATAAGCCTATTTTAATGCAGATTTTCTGTCAGTTAGTTCTATATGAATGATAGAGGTGTTGCAATTAAATCTTTGGACAGCACAGTGAGGTGCTTGTTTCGCCATCCACTTATCCAGGGCCGTTTTTCGGATTTGTCAAGTGAAGCAGACGATTTCACGAATGTGCGTAAGCATGGTCCGTTTGAGGTTCAGATGGGAGTTGGTCGGAGTTGGTAGTTCAAACCTCGTCAAAAACGTCATCTCTACTACCCCCCCC